CATTCGGGTAGAAGGTGAGTTTTAGTATCCAGAGTATTCAAAACTTCTTTGTCCACACGTTTCGCAGTTCTTTCACACTTCTTTAATCTGACTTATGTCTGCCAACATTTGTCAAGCAACCAGAGGACATGTCTGCATGACTTTCCGCAAGAGTCTGTTTCTTAGACCATGCACAAGTGAGGAGCACTGCTTTCCACCAATGTTCATGACGACCTTCTGAATGACTTCAAAGGTGTACTTAAGTTCCTTTGGATAGTCTATGTTGAGGGCAAAAAGAAGACCCATCAGCATGGAAATGGCACTCAGGACATCCCTCAGATTAGACAGGATTACTGCCGCATAAAGGACAACCAACACATCGATGATGCCTTTTTTTTTCACCATCACAATGCCAACTTTCAACTCTTAGTAAACGTGTCTTCAATATCTGTGGGTTATAAAAGGGTTCAAAGACAAAAAGAACAAAAAAATATTTACCATACTTGACTTAGAAAAATACACAATGTCCCTTGTGCTTTAGAATTCATGTCTTTCCAAAGAAGAGCCATACTGATGCCTTGGATGATGGTGATTGATTTTGGGTAACACTCATTAGTTGTTGAAGTTTTTTTCAGAATGAGATACGCACCCCCATGTTACAAATCCATTTCTTGCTTTAAACAAAGACCATGTTCATAATTAACAGAGCATGTCTTCATTTGCAGAATGCAAACAAAAATTTAAATTTAAATTTACCTGTGCTAAATATTGGCTGTGCTCGGAGTCAAATGTAACTGAGAATACATGAAATGTGCAAACTGAAGCTAAACTGCAGGATCAGAATGTGGCTCCACAGACAATGCTTCTTTAATCAGTAACAGATTTTTTTTCCTCTTATATTAACAGCATGAAAAAAGAGCAGGTTGGCTGGACAGGTTGCATAACTGGCACTGAATATCAACATCCACCTTTACCCAGCTGTCCAATGACTCTGGGCCAGTGACCTTTAACTGCTTACCCAGTCTACACAATCTCTTTTCCAGGGTCCAGGACATTTCACCAAAGTATTGCCCCCGACAGCTGTAGTAGCCACTGCAACCCCTTAAATAACCTAATATCTCAGCCATTACAATATACAATGTGAGAAATCAAACGCAAAGCTGTAGTGAACAGTACAGCAGCGAAATGTCAAAGACCCTGGTGAAGACATGAGTAAACACAAGAAACTAACATTAATGCTAGTTTGCCAGTTAGTATCTCTGAAACCCAGACCAAATCCAGTGTCACAGATCTCATAATAATACATTTGGTAAGGAAAGAGTATAGATTTTATCTTGTGGCATCCACAGGGAGTAGGGTGTTAACCCTTTGAGTTAAAGCCTAAAGTCTGCACTTCAATCACATCTTGATTGTTTGATTTAAATCCACTCTGGTGGTGTAATTATTGAATTAACTAAAAGAAACGATGCTAACCTTCACAGTCTTGAAAGTGTGTGAGGGATCTTCCTTAAGAAAATGAGGTCCTCTGTCCTCTTCCTTTGTGTAGAGCTCTGGTCAAAGAAGTCAAAAAGAAAACAATAAAACTTTTTAAACAGTATTTATGAAGCATGTAGACAGCTACAAATTCACAGCTTTTTGCTAAATAATTCCATCAATATATGATTATCATTGGAGATAACTGGGTCAATTACACCTGTCTTGTTTGTTTTAATATTTTTGATATCTTTTAATTTGAGTCAGGCTGATCAGCACATTCAAGCAGAATATGATACCCAACCTATCACCAATATACACCGATTCTGTAAAAGTTAACACACTAAGTGTCCAGTTGTGAAATATGATGACAGACTTTACTTATCAGCTTTCTTTGAAAGAGTTCATCAGTTGAACTGGATAACCTAAAACTTAAACAAAGGAGAACATTTAGCTGTTGAACACTTACATCATCATCGAAGCATTTTATGAGCCTATAGCCCTGCTATGCCGCTCTTGGTTTTGTACAGTTCCATGAACCTCTCCATATTGGTCAAGCACAGCAAAGTGGGACCCTTTCAGGTCAACAGATGTGAGATTCTGCTTCAGCCTGAGCAATGGAAGAAGAGGGGTGGGGAGTACAGGCAGAATTTTTAAAAAATGCTTTGAGATCTAAATTTAAGCAAACTGTCATCTGAGGCCCATTAGAGAAAACACACACACACATAAGCAAACAAACAAAAAGATGCACGTTATCTGCTGTTCAGCGAACAAGCATGTTCAGAGAACAACAAGCTCTGTCTTGAAATCTTTTAAAGTAGAATGAGTGTGAAAACGACTCTTATGTGACAAACCTTCAGTTATGGATTTTATTACAACCACAAGACCCTAAAAAGTCTGCTCCATTGCTTTTGTTAATGAATCATTTGTTGGTAGCGTTTCTGAATATTTAGTTTATGCCACCTGCATGTGATCATCGATAGCGCAATATTACTTACAATATAATCTGTGGTGTTTCCCGTATGAAAAAATACACAAAAGGTAACTTACCATTTGACTCCATTGACAAAAATAAATGCCCAGCATCAAGTTTGGCTTCACAGACCTAAAATAAAATAAAGATATATGTTATAATTATATTGTTGTATGTAAACAATGTTATTATTGTTACAACACAGGGAATGCTGTTAAATTAAAAGCTAAATTATGCACACACACACACACACACACACACACACACACACACACACACACACACAATCAGAAACAACCCAAGGGACTTCTGCAGTATACCATGCCAAAAATCAGTGTCTCTGATACCAATTATTAGTTATTATTCATTATTAATTATTAGTATGGAAACTCACACAATTTGGTCATACTGATCACAAGAGTTCAAAAATATGGAGCTGTTGTTAAGCATAAAGTATTTCAGGGAAAGTAATAATTGTACAATATCATTACTGCAAGAAATAATCACACTGGAGGACAATCAATCTGATAAAAACTAATATAATGCTGGTTTGTAGACCATATTTTGTCTCAATCCTCAGTGCACTCTTGCAGCTTAGCATGCAGCAGTAAATAACAACTTAAGTGATTACATAGGGGTAAACAGATGACATCAAGCATAGCAGTCCTGCCAAAAGTTATTTTTGAACCCAGTCAGTTATTGGAAATATTGCCAAAATGAACTTCCACCAAAATACAACAGCCTGTGAACTTGAAAGAAATTTACAAGTACAGAGACAATATGAAATGAGCTTTATTAATTAGCTGAATTAGCTTGCTAATATCGCAACAGTGGTTGAATGTGAAACCTTAAAGCTAGAGGCACAATACTTTTGATTTTGTCCGTGCTACATTAAACCCATAAAAAAGGCCATATGTCAGTTTATTAGGTTAAGTTTTGTCATGACACACAAGCTGGACCTTGTCGGCTAAAGTTACATTAGCTAAAGCAAACATTTAGGTAAAATAGAAAAAGACGCCTCATGCCATTAATTCAAAACATGTTCCAACTTTTGTAGCTCTCTTTCCTTATAGTTGCGACCAATGTTACTCACCTTGAAAGCAGATTCCAATGAAGACAGTTAGAAAACGTCCGATTAAAGTGACCATGTTGTTAACCGCTAATTCCCAAGAGGGTTATTGATCCCCTGTTGATCCTCTACCCAATCACACAAGCCAAGGTGTGGGTCACAATCAGCCAAGGTTTCGAGTTAACCCATTGTAAAACCTGACCCCACCTTATCATGTGATTTACTGAGATCAAATGGCCCAGGATGTGAGAGAAACCTAAAGAAGTCCAGACGCTTTTCTTTCCAAGCTCCATAGACTACGATGACTTGAATGACTGAGAACCTTCACAGACATTTTGGACCAGCAGCTGTTTCTTTCCTTCTTCATACTTTTACTTTATGTCTTTCTGGTATAAGTTAACCTTGGTTTCATCTGTACAAAACTTTTTGTAAAGCTGTTCAGATTCTTTTAGATGTTTTCTAGCAAAGTGTCATTTGGCCTTCTTGTTTTTGAGTGTGACCAGTAGTTTGTTGTCTATTATAAACCATCTGTATTTTAATTTTTGAAGACGTCTGTTGACCGTAGATCATGATATTGTTACGTCTACCTCCTTGATAGTGTTCTTGACTTGATTAGATGTAGTTTTGAAGCTGTTTTTCTTCACCATGGAAATAATTCTGTGATCACGCACTTTAGTTCTCTGTGGTCTTTCAGGGCTTTCATTAGTCCTGAACTGGTCAGTTTACTACTTCTTTTTAAGAATTCTGCTGTCTCTCTAATAGCTTCATTTTGTTTCATCAACCTAATGATGACCCCTCTTGCTGGTATGGACATTTCTTTGGTCTTATATTCAAAATTACAGGAAAACTTATAAAATACAACCACAACACTTCAAATCAACTCCAGATATTATGTTTGCTTCATTTGTCATGAAATGAAAGGCCTACACTGACCATGAAAGTTCTTATCATTCAACTGATAGTAAACTTTTAGTCCCTGAAAATGGGAGACTGTGTATAAAACACCCAGTACGAAATGTTCCCTAAAGTTGTCATGTTCATATCACTTTATGTGTTAGATCAGGACAGAACTGAAAGACATTAGTTTAAGTTTTAAAACAGAATTAACCAGAGAATTCAGGCAATTTGTCTTGACTAACTGATTATTTCACTCTACATTAATGTTAACATCAATGTAGGCTTATTTTTTTTTTGTCATGACTGCCTGCAGGTTTCCCCAACCTTATAAACAGTTCATCTATATAATGACTGAAAATGGTACCACTGACTAACAATGGGTCGTGAGGTCATTGTTAGGCAATGGTACTAGTTTCGGTCTGAAGAAGTCACTGGGATGGGTGAAGAAACGTTTCTCACAGAGAAAACGAAACATCCAGATGTTGTTGGAATGTTTTAAATTAATAATCAGCTATTTGAGAAAACCCCTTCCCACCAAACTTCAAATCTTACTTTACTTACTGTCAGACCTACTCTACATTGTTTTAAAGCTTAGCAGTGTTCCATGAAATATTTTCTTGTAAAATCAATACCATATCTTTATCAAGTATATTTCCCTTTTACCATTTATTCATTCTAACATAAGCTAACATGCCTTTTGTAAACAGCACAACCTTCCAGGACCTCGGAGCCTCTTGTGATACCTCGAGTTGCAGTGAAAAACGAAACATCCAGATGTTGTTGGAATGTTTTACATTAATAATCAGCTGTTTGAGAAAACCCCTTCCCACCAAACTTCAAATCTTACTTTACTTACTGTCAGACCTACTCTACATTGTTTTAAAGCTTAGCAGTGTTCCATGAAATATTTTCTTGTAAAATCAATACCATATCTTTATCAAGTATATTTCCCTTTTACCATTTATTCATTCTAACATAAGCTAACATGCCTTTTGTAAACAGCACAACCTTCCAGGACCTCGGAGCCTCTTGTGATACCTCGAGTTGTTTCTCGGATGTATCTGAGTCCAGATGAGCTCAGGAAACTCCGCTTTAAGCCCACCGTAGGCACCATTCAGCTGTCAGAGGGCCATGAAGCCAAACTGAACTGTTCCATTGAAATTCCTGATACCAGACTGGAGCCCGCCATCCTGTGGGTGAAGGATAGTAAGGAGCTGTCGCCAAACATCCATGTGGTGATGAATGAGCTCCACTCCATCACAGATGGGGTATCAACTCTCCTCTCCACTGTCATGTATGTATCACATGAAGGTGAAATGTGTGTGATATGACAGGTTAGGTACATAAACTGAAGTGTCCTTATGCATTACATATTACAGCATTAAACATGTGCAGAGAGTGGATGCTGGAGATTATCGATGCCGACTGAGTATCAGCAACATGTTGGTAGAGTCTGATCCGATCAG